TCCCTCATAACTGAATCGTAGGCTTTCTTGAAGTTTATGAATAGCTGATGTACTGTCTCATCGTACTCCCATTTTTTCTCCAATATCTGACGAATGCAAAAGATCTGATCTGTAGTTGATCTGTTACGTCGAATCCCACACTGATGATTCGCAGTAATTTCATCTATATGTGGACTTAACCTTGAAAGAAGAATATTGGACAAAATTTTATATGAAGTTGATAGCAGTGATATCCCCCTAAAATTACTAGAGTCAGTTTTATCGCCCTTCTTGTGAACTCGTACAATAATAGATTCCTTCCACTGATCAGGCAATTTTTCCTTATGCCAAATAGAATTAGATTGTAGATCTTAGAACGTCATATTTCGCCTCCTGCTTGAATAAGTTCTGCCGGAATTTGATCACTACCTGGCGATTTATACCGTTTCAATTTTGCAATAGCACTTTCAACCTCAAAAGGGCTAGGATGAGGTATCAACAGCTCAGCTGTATGGATTTCTGTCTGCCTAACATCACTGACCCTATGTACATTCAGTAACCGAGAGAAGTAGTTCTTCCACCTATTCAAAATGTGGGAATCTGCAAGCAGATCACCATTCTCATCCTTCACTAAGTTACTGCTAGGCTGGTAACCTCTCTTAAAGTCATTTATTCCTCTATACAGGTTTCTAATGTTCTTATTCTTACTGTTCATTGGAAGCTCATCAATTTTGTCTTTCAGATATTCCCTCTTTTTCTTCCTGAAATGCCTGGCGGTTTCACGTCTTACATTGTTCAGATTATCCCCATTTAACTAGCTGGGATCCTGTAACCATTGCAATTTGGCCTGCTTTCTTTGATCTAATAATTCTGAGCGTCCTTCATCAAACCATGGCTTAAGCTTCTTCAGTTCATAATAACCTAGACTCTCTTTGACAGACATTTTTATATTCTCACACTTACTAAATAAAACTGAACCCATGAAGAAATTATGAACAGATTGAATTCAGGAAGTGCTATTACCATTCAGTTCAGAATCTGTCTTTTCATTTGCAATCTGGAAACGCAAATAATGAAATACACAAAATTATAATTTTGACTATTGAGTATAAATCTTGATCGGTCACATAAGGGAAGAAAGGGGACCGAGAGTGAGAACAGAATATATGGATCTAAGAGGGATGAGGTAACAAAAGGCTGCAAAAACTGCATAACGAGGAGCTTAATAATTTGTACTCCTCGACAAGCAGTATCAGAGTATCAGGAACTAATTAAGTACTACGCCATGAAGGCGTATGGGGAGTGGATATATGTGTATATCCACATTTTCTTGAACTCGGCACTAAGTGGAGGTGAGTGGCCAACTTCACTCTCCGGACTCTTTACCCCCGGGGAAAGAGCCCCCGGTACCCACTGCACAGGAACCTAGGTGGGTCCCACAGCCTGTCTGGACAACTGGGAGAAGAGAAAATTCTTGACCCTACTCATACTCGAACTCCGACCCCTCGGTTTTCCAGCCCGTAGCTGGTCGCTATACCGACTACGCTATTAAAGATACGAAAGAATATACAAAAAAGTTTTGGTAGGAAACCCTGAAGAAAAGAGACCGGTAGGAAGGCGCAGCGTAGACAGGACAATAACAAAATGTGTTCTAAACAAACATGACGGTAACATGTGGATTGGTTTCTTCTAGCTCAGGATATGGCTCTTTTGAACATGGTAATGAAGCTTCAGGTTCCTTAAGATGTTGGGTTTTTCTTTGAGAACCTGAGAAACTACTAGCTCCTCAAGAAGGATTCAGCTCCATATGTATATAGTCTTACGAAATGCCAGCGTCGTTTAAATAGATCCTCCATACCTGGTTTCCGTCACTTTATACTGCTACAACGTGGAGTCGAACAACTATGCCAGCAGTTACGGGAAATACTGTTTACTGTTTAATACCCAAGCAAACCACACAAATGATTTAAAAGAAGTTCCTTAGACTCTAGCAGTGAAATGATTAATACTCCATGTGCCTTACCGGTACCAGTCAATGTGGATCTCACCGCTGCCTTCCACAATGCACCTCAAGATGACGTCATTGCCTGCCTCAATCTTGTGGGGTGAACCTGGAGACTGCAGCTGCACCAGGACGGGCTCCCCCAACCCTGCAACACAACGCAAGCTACAGAGCGTGGGTTTAACCATGTCAGCACTGCCTTCCAGAGAACAAACAGCTCAGTATTCTGCCCTGGAGTCGGCCACCGCAGGAAATTCTTTCTTCTTTGGCATTAAAACCCCGAGTCGATAAGTGGATCTTTCTGTTTAAGCCTCATTCTTTCAGGTGTCCTCTTCTTATAATTTGTTCCAAATGATATTTTGTTATGAAGACGTCAGGTATTTGAAAATGTGTTAGGATAGGATCCAACAGCGAACTTTGTGGTGGCAATAAGGAAATTTCGAGTCCCATAACAGTCAATTTATTGATCAGTTAATAACTACAGATGATTAAGAAATATCGGACATAAAATGTTTAATTTTTCTCTACAATCTTTGTTCGAAACATTTCCGTTCCACAAGTATTTATCGAGTCATAGAGATGAAGCAGAAGTGGAAGCAGGTCTTCATGAAACACCAGTACTGTTCAAGGGATTAGTAAATGTCCGTACTTTGTCCATCATCTGGTATTCTAAAGAACACAATATTTCGGTAACTGAACCTGCTTCCATCCTCGGATGAGAGGCTTGGATGCACCTACTCTGTTGGGTCCGTTGAAAGAGCTAACCTCTATCATTGGGCGATTGAGGCAGTTGAGGTTAGCCCTTTCTAACGGAACCAACAAAGTAGGTACCTCCCACACTTTTACCTGAAGACGGAAGCAGCCCCAGTTTTCGAAGCGTTGTGTTCTTTAGAACACTGGACAATAAACAAAGTCCAAACTCTCAGTAATCCCAAGTGTTATACACCGTCATCAGAACCTTTAGAACTGGCCGCCACTCTTGCTCAATTCTGACCAAAATTGAAATACATCAACCATGAAAATCTGTTCAACGGTTCCCGAGTCGTTACAAAAAGACAGACATGACGAAACAACTCGTAATAGACATTTTATGAAACTTTGTATTCCGAAGAACCAAATTACTTGGTTTCTCTGGGTCCTTTCAACGCAGTACATGAAATAACTCGCTTAAAAGCACTTATGCTCCTAGTCTGCGTCTGTCTGCTTGAAAATATTGTTAAGACAGCTGTGCTGCCATCTCCCAATAGTTACATCCAACTATTCAAGAAGGCAACAGCAGCAATTAACTTTACCCGGCCTCCTACACGGTGGGGGTAAAGCGGACGGGTAGTGAAGGCGATCTCCATCTAGTGCCAAGATCGATAATGTTAGAGCTGTACCTCCATTCCCCCCATATGTCTTCATGGCATACGGCTTAATTAAGCGCAGAACAACTTTACCTTTACATACCATCTTTAGGTACACAAATAAATTAAGGACGGGAAACTCCAGCGATCATAACGGAAAATTTAGCAATGAATTATGTAGGTACATGCGACATCGGTAGTTGAACACAAGTACCATATTAATCATCTGATTGAACACGTTTGACAGTCCTGCTGAAGTTCCCAGGTGGAAGAAATTAGGCACCCCTCTTCACAATCGACGCTGGCCATACAATGTAACAAGCCTTCCAGAGACTGAAATGCAGACGTCCTGTTTCATCGCTTGTCAGTTTATGTTTTCTCCCTCACACCCGCCATCTGCCGCGCGATTACGCAACCGCTCGGTGCATGAAGGGCCTTAGTTTCTCTCCAGAAATATGCTCGCCTAGAATTTAGTTCTATGGTTCTCTGAACCTGATTAAGAAGCTGTGTGTGCCTGTACGTCCTTTAGACCGTTCGCCTTTTGAATGGAGTAGGCACACCAACATACTAAGGCAGAAATTCGTAACGGTCAAAAAGAACCCTTTGCCCTTGTTCGAGTCATCGGTTATTTGCACTTTCACACTGCCCAACTTCTTTCATCACCATGCATTAATCGTCACAGAAATTAATTCCGTTACATCTAATATAAAGATTGCAGATAAAGTGAATTTGTTCAATTTTCTGGGGTGGATTAATTTTGGCATTTCCTTTATTTTCCCGTAAGTAGACGTAGTTAGAACCTCTTCATATGATATTCATTCTATGGTTAGCTACTTTCATGCAGTATTGTGTTTGTTACGATGGTTTTGCTTTCCCCACTTCATTAAAAAAATAAGTGGTATAGGACCGCCTCTGTGGTCTAATGGTCAGAGTTCGTGGCTACAGAGCCAGAGGTCCCGGGTTGGCACTAACTTCGCCGACAAGCGGCGGTCGCTCGGTCGGAATACTTCGCTTATGAACAATTATGTTTTATGAACAATACTAGCGCCAATTCTTATTATATTCCCTTACTTAGGATATTTTCTCAGCTGTATCGAATGGAAAGACACTTACGATTAACGGATTGCAACGAACGAGAACTGAACAGACCGCTACTTATTTTAACATACTGAAGTGGAGGGGGGAGAAATCACCCCCCTTCATGGAAGTCCATCCCAGATTACAGCCCGGGATTTAACCGCGACGAACTAACATTCTGTTCAGTGCATGACCTTGAAATGCGTAGATTCCGCTTCCGCTGCTCCTGAGTTTCACAACTTTCTGCACGGCCAGTAAATGCTTGTACGACCGAGACAACTTAGAATGAGGTAGCTGAGCTACATGCCGCTCTTGCATGAGCAGCAGTTGCTGTTTATTTTCAGAAGCGCATCACAACATCGAGTGAAACCAAACGGCGGCTAGCGGTTACTTCGATTCGAGGATCGAGTCCCGAATTCAAGGACAGACCCTTACAGACGACAAACGTCAGTTGCGTTATCTGAGGATCAGGTCACATGTTACCAAAGGTACGTAAAATTCACTTTGTATCTAAACAACACGCCATGAAAGCATATCAGTGGCACAGAAGTAAATTTTCGCTCGTTCTAGACCCCACGCTAGGTAAAGATTAAAGAAAAAGACAAAGTTGTCACTGTGCGTAACCACGACATTAAGGCGTGTGGGGAAGTGGAGGTATAACTCCACCATTCCTGACCTCGGTACTAGATGGATGGCATGTTGTCAGCTTCACGCCCAGGTCACTTCACCGCCGGGGAAAGAACTCCCCTTACCCTTTGGATAGGAGACTCAGTGAGCACCAGTGTCGGTTTTAACGCTGTGGAATAGAGAAAAATCTCTTACCCTGCCGGGAATAGAACCCCGGCCGTTTAACCACTAGTCCGTGGCTATACCGACTGAGCTATCATGCCTGCTTGGTTAAATGATAAACTTTCCTCTCCGGTCGATGAATCCCTGGGCAGCAACTCGAAACGTTCACTGGCTAGGGGACTAAATGAGTGTCTAAGCAGATTTGGGCATTGAACTGGACCGTTACTATCCCGGCAACGCCTAGTCAACCACTTCCTTCTGCAGTGCTGTGTAGCACTCGCAAACATTACCACCCTCCTCATCGCACGCAGTGGTCCGATTACAGCAACTCACAAACAATTCTACCGTCAGGACACAAGTGATGGCAATCTGTAAACAACATGACGCTGAAAACGCATATGTATTTACATGAGGTTGTGGCAAATTTTCATTTGGCAAACTGGCAACATTTTCTATCCTCCTTTTACACTTATTACACTTGACAGACATTATTTATTCGTGTATTCAGAAGTGTAACGGCTCATAAAGAAACTTACTCCAAATGCATCTTAGAGAGATAGGAAGGAATGGTATGGAGTGGATTGATCTGGCTCAGGATAGGGGCCAGTGGATGGCTCTTGTGAGCACGGTAATGAACATTCGGGTTCCATAAAATGCTGGGAAATTCTTGAGCAACTGCACAATTGGCGGCTTCTCAAGAAGGGCTCGGATCCATGATTAAGTGCTTATTTAGCAAGGATGTCAGCAGCTCAGTCTATACAGGCCCGCATGGCAGAAAGATTGGTGAACAACGAATTACACAGGATGTAGAAGGAAATGGGCGCCATCTAACTAGCGGTATTACCACGGCATTTGCCTGGCAGACAGAGAATCCGACGAGAAGCACATGGCAGGATATCCGATTTATGGGCCAAGATTTGTACACGGGACCCCACAAATACGAAGGAGGAACGCTTAACCACGCGACCAAGATGTTCCGCGACATGGAAAACAATAAATTGTATCTGTGGGATGGAACCACATACTGGGAATTAGACCACTATCAAAATTATAAGTTTAGTGATACCTAGAAGTGTGACCGGTCACGGTAACCGAGCGGTATAAGGCATACACTGTCTTCCCTCGCTCGGAAGCCGGGATCGTGAGTTCGAATCCAACTCAGGGCATGGATGTTCAGTGATTGTGTGCCTGCGTTTTTCAGTGTTTGTGTACAGGTAGAGGTCTTGCGATGAGCTGATCACCCGCCCAAGAAGTCCTACCGAATGTCTAAGATCTAGTAAACCGAAGTGAAATGGAGAGTTTCATGGAGGTAGGCCAACGCACAAATTGGGGCTGTAGCGCCAAAGAAAAAAAATCATCATCATCATCAGTAATCTGTCAAGACGACAGGTCCACAGTCTCTTCCAAAACAATTCCTCCACTTAATGCGATCTAAAGCTTTCTCCTTCAAATGACAGTATCCTCTTCTGTCCCCAAGGTCATCCAGCATCTTCTTACGTCTTCTTCCTCGTCTTCTTGTCACTTCTATCCGCCCATCTATCTTTCCTTCGATAGCTTCTTTTAGAAGGCAGTTTCTGCGTAAAA